CGAGCATGAATGCTTGTTACATCATCATTTTTTACAAATTAATTTGTTTACTTATTTTTGAATTCTATACTATATCCAAGTAAAAAAAATAAATAAATTTAAAACTCAAAATTTAATATATTAATGAATAAATAAAGGCCAAGTTTGGCATGTTCAGGAAAAGTAAAAAAGTTAAAAAGTTACTTAAAAAGTTAACACTATTCACCAAAAGTCAACAATTACGGCTGCACAACTCTCAATCCTAATTTTCTCCTACAAACCAATTTTTACAATTTTTTATTACAAATTTTTCCATAAAAAGTCAAAAAGTTAACCCAAACATCATTGACCATGATAACCCTTTATGTTCTCCACTTTTCCCTGGATGTTGTAATTCCCCTTGCTCCCGAACACACAATTTAAAAAAAAAAGGGATTTTGACTTGGCGGCAAAAATGTGACTTTGTTTTATGGAACTAAATACTTCGCATAAAAAAATACATGACAAAAGGAGCAAATTTTAAATGAGAATGCTGTATTGCATGAGTGGCGTGTAGAGTTAGATTAAAAAGCATACATACGAGACCCGAGATAATACCAAATGAGGTAAATATAAAAGTTTGTTGACTTTGTTTTGCGCAGTGACTTGTTTTACTGATATATATCTTGTGTGTTTCCAGTTTCCCAGTACTGAATGTTTTCCTAAATTTCTGAATTTGTCGTACACCCGTACAGAATTCACATGTTTTAACTGTTAATACTTCTCTTATTTATATAATTATTTGCTTTTTTTTTTTATTTTTATAAAGTTTGTAGTTGAAGGATTACCATAAATGGAGATGCTAATGGGAAGGAAAGACCTAAGTTGACATGGGATGTAGTAATGAAAAATAATATAAATTTATTTAATTTAACTGAGTATATAGGCTTTGAAAAAGCTGAATGGTAAAAAAAGATTTATGTAGCCAACTCCACTTGACTGGGAAGCAAGGCTTAGTTTGGTTTGGCTAGTTCATGATTGACAGTTCAATAGCTTAGGTTTGTAAAATTAGTGTTAGAATTTACCATCACCTACCACCAATTTACCATCACCTACCACCACCTACTCCTCACCTACTACACTCACCCTCTCCTATATAATGAGCCACTCACCATTTGTAATACACAACAACACAATACATCAATCAATAATAAGTTCATCAGATACATTTATTCTCTCTGTATTTTTCTCTTTATACATTGATTATTTTACATGGTATCAGAGCAGGTTTAGAACCTAATATTTTCGCTTCACCGGCGGGCGGCAACCTCACCTTAGCCGTCCGCCGGACCTCAACCTAGTCCGCTCGACTTTTCACACATACCTTGAAATTTCCTTTCTACCACCACCGCTGCAAGATCCAGAGCCATCATCGTCCATCTCTCCGGCGGCTCCATCTCCGCCGACAAAGTCCCAGACAATTACAAACAGTATTGGTCCTTCTTTCGCTGTCCCAAAGAAATCGAACTCACCGAGAACGTCCCTGCCTTCGTCTTGTTCGGTGAAGACGAGGTTGAGACAATAGGCCCAAGTGGTGCGCCGTCGCCTTCTTCTGCGGCCGAGACGAGCACTCTATCACCAGACCGCCGCAGCTTCCGCCGCCGACCCTCGGAACTGGCGCCTTCGTCGCACCACCAAATCCAGAAGATGGGTTTGGGAGGACCACCATTCTCGAACCAAATAGAGCCGAACCCGACATTTCTTCTTCTTCTCCTGGTTGTTCTACTTGGTTGCTGGAGTGCGAGTGAGAGAGATGATAAGAGTAGTGGTTTTGTTTGGACCTCTCTCTACCAATTCATGACTTAGACAAACAGATTTAACAATTCTCTTATTTTAATATATATATATATAACTCTTCTCTCTCTCTCACTTTCAACCCCACGGCTAGCACACCACTTTCTTTTATTTATACTTTTAAGATCCACTCTTATCTTGTTCCCTTTATTTTTTATTTTTTATTTTTTTATTTTTTTCTTTTCACCCCTTTTACATCACCCATGTTCACCAGACACGGGCTCTCTCTCTCTTCACGGACACATCCCATTCTTCTTTTTTTATTTACTCCCACCCACTGAGCTTATCACCTCCATGTGCACTTGTTTTTTTTTGTTTTTTTTTTATTTTACTTTTTGACAGATTCCTGGCTTGCAAAAAAGAGCCACCTTTTATTTTTTTTATTATTCACACAACACATCATTCCACCACCTTCCCTTTTTTTTTTTTTTTACATCATATTTTTTCCACCTTTTTTTTTTTTTTTTTCTACATCATATTTTTTCCACCGCCCATTCCATGATATCTATTTTTTATTATTATTATTATTCTTATTATTCTTCTTCTTCAACCAAAAAAAAAAAAAAAAAAACACAACACACTTTCCAAATTTGCACAACAGCCCATCCTTTTATTCATATCAGGGGATCAACCCTGATCACACTTTTACATCAAAAAAAAAAAAACCACACAAACAAAAACAAAACTACCACACCCACAGTGGGATTTTTACCCAAAAAAAAAACAAAAAAAAAAACACACACAAAACAACCACATCCACAGGCGGGATTTTGCTTCTCTACTCTGCTGCGGGTCGCTTTTTCTTGCCTCCGTCCTGGGCGGCCCTTGACGGTGTTGCCTCCGTGTTTCCCATGCCACCGAGCACATTCAATCCCCCCTGCTCCTCCACTACAGCATACGGTGGACCTCCAAATCGGAACATCACGGTGGCCTTCCGCTTCAGCTCCTTGTTCTCCGCCTTTAGCACACTTATCTCTGCTCGCGCATCCTTATACATGCGTTGGAGCAGAGCCAGTTGGGCGTTTAACTGCTGCACCTCATTCGTCCTACTCTGCAGCCGGTGCGACAAGTTTGTGACCGCAGTCATGGTTTCCAGGGTAGGAAGGGTTTTAATTGTAAAGTATTTGATTGTTTTCTTTAAGACCGACAGCAATAGACCCATAAGTAATCAAGTTTCATGGTTAAGGGAGCCTTGCCTTTCTTGAGTACAAGAGAAGTATTTATTAGGGTAAAATACTTATCTCTCTTGTGGACTCGTTGAGGTCGGGAAAGAGAGTAAGCAGACCACGGGAAGAAGAGGCCATGTTCTGGGTAGCTGGACGGGAAGAAGAGGCAATGTTTTTGGGTTGCTAAGTGTTTCAGAGAAGCAGCGATTACCGATTGGTACTGTCAGACAAGGTTGGTTACAGAGTGTTTCAAGATTTGCAGCTCTTCGAGACAAGCTCTCTGAGAATGCAGAGGTTTCAACTGGTTTGTTATGCTTCCAAGCCTCAGCCTCCGGACGGGAAGAAGAGGCCATGTTTTTTGGGTTGCTGAGTGTTTCCGAGAAGGGTTAGATACAGCGTATTTACAGATTGTTTCAGAATGACAAGTTCAGAGGTTTCAGTCTGGTTTGGTTTCCTCCGCCTCCGCATTGGTTTATATTGACACTGACGACGCGGCCGACATGCCGCTCTGTCGCTCACGTGCCTCGCCGCGTCTCCGGCTCATCTTTTGATGGCTCGACGCTTTCTGTCGGGCACGACTTTTGATGAAGTGGGCCCGTCTTTTGAGGGCGCAACTTTTGATAGCACGTCTTTTTATGGATTGGGCACGCCTTTTGATGGCACGCCTTTTGAAAGATTGGGCACACCTTTTGAGGGTGCGACTTTTTAAGGGTCCGACAAGACTCTGTAAACTGTCCCGACACTGATTCCGGTTAGCTCCTTCATGGGTCCGACAAGACTCTGTAAACTGTCACAAGATTGTCTGCTACAACGGTCCGACATGACCCCATAAACTGTCCTCTACACCGTTATGACACCACCATACAATGTCCTCTGCAACGTTATGACACCCCCATACAGTGTCCTCTACAACGTTATGACACCACCATCCAGTGTCTTCACCAATGGTCTGACACGACCATACAGTGTCTCCTATCCTCTTTTATTTTTATGTATTTTCTTGTTTTGTTACTCTCTCCAAACTCAAGTTGGTTAGTTCCTATCCCCCTTGAGTTTGCGGGGGCTGTTAAAATTCACCTACTACACACCTACCACTACCACCTACTACACACTCACCTACTTCACTTACTCTCCACCTACTCCTCACCTACTACACACTAACCCTCTTCTATATATGGGAATCATGAATCATTGTAATATATATCAATACCTTGAGTTTGCGGGGCTGTTAAAATCCACCTACTCTCCACCTACTTCACCCACTTAAACCTATTCCACTAAACCTAACCCACTACACCACTACCACCTCCACTTCACCTTACCTACTACACACTCACCCTCTTCTATGTATAGGAATCATGAATCATTGTAATTGATATCAAAATACACATAAATAAATAATACAATCATTTCTCTTTATACATTAAATTTCTACATTAAGTCTCATGGATTGTAATCTATCAGATGATGCTCTTCCAAGGGATCTTAGTAACCTGCACTCATTGCAGAAGCTATACCTAGGTGGAAATACATTTCATAGCCTACCAGAGAGCGTTAAATTTCTCACTACTCTTCAGTCCCTTCATTTAGATTTGTGCAGAAGCCTTCGGTCTCTTCCAGAGCTTCCATCAAGTCTGAGGAGGTTGAATGCAGAAAATTGCGCATCATTGGAAAGAATAACAAATCTACCTAACTGGTTGAGATCACTAAACTTAGACTTATGTGATTGCACCGAACTAGTTGAGATTCAGGGGATGTTCCGGTTAGAACCCATTACAAAAGTGGATGCAAAAATGATAAACAATTTGGGCTTGGTCAATTTGGATACCATGATATTGAGTTGGACTTGTACAATAACCTGACACAATCAGGAAAGAAAGGTCCTATCCAGGCACGCTCTCTCTCTCTCTCTCTCTCTCTCTTTTTCTAATATATATAGATATATATACATATGTAGTAGTTAAGAATAATTGTATATAAATACATAAGTAGTAGTTAACAATAATTGTTTCCATGCTACAGGGATTCTATGAATTTGGTATATTTAGCACTCTTCTTTCAGCAAGTGAGGTTCCAAGTTGGTTCAGCAATAAGAGTAAGGGGTCTTCAATATCTTTTACTGTGCCTTCACTTGATCTTAAGATTGGGGGGTTGAATTTTTGCGTTGTTTATACACTTCCTGACTATGACGGAGGTTGGGCTTTTGATGAAAACTATCTTGGAATCAGTAATGAAACCAAAGGTCTGAATTGGACCTATGCTCCAATGTTCTTTGGCATGCCAGAAGTCAACAAACACATGATATGGTTGAGCCATTGGAAGTTTGGAAATCAGTTGGAAGGTGGCGATCAAGTGAATGTTTCGTTTGATATGAATGCTTATTTCCAAGTAAAGGAGTGTGGGGTCCACCTTGTGTACGATCAAGAAGAAAAGGTCATCACCGAATCAAGCGTTGAGGAAGTAGTCCAAATCTGTACCTATCCCTGTTATCAGAATGTCATTGATGGAGATTTGTCAGCATATCGGACAAGTGGGGGCTTATTCCTTCTATGCCACTATGATTGCATGATGCGTCGACGATGCTCAATTGATGGATGGGATATAACTGAATACGAGACTACAGGTTTGGGCATCTTCCTATTTGAATCAGTAAAATAATAGAACCTATTTCATCTGGAAAGATTGGGGTTGTTGATGGTCATGAAACAATGCCTTAATCTGTTGGAATTTTTGGTGGTGTGTGTTTTACAGATGAAGAAGTAGAAGAAGATGATGATGAAGAATAGCATAGGGTGAACTGATGGTGGTTGTGGCATGAAAATTAACATTCTCAGATCAAATTAATTCGTCTCAAATCCATTATAATCAAAATGTTGTTACTGATAAAGCATTATTCTTGTGGTAATGTGTTTTTTATGCAGTTTATGGGGTTATTTGGTTGGAGTGTAATGCTAGGATCTTTGAGGATTTGTATGAAGAGGTGGGCTCTTTATGGGATAAATAAAGTCTGTTACTTGGCATCTTTTTGGGTTTCAGCCTCCACTTCCTTTATTCGAATTCCACTTTTATTTTTATTATTATTATTATTTTTTCTTTCTGTAGAGATATGGGGGCAATTTGTGATTGGCAATGTGAGATTTTGGTAGTCCTTTGTTTTTGCCTTTTTATTTTATTTTATTTTTTGGAGGGCTTCTTGTTCTCCCATTTCTCTTGTTCTTCTCTTATTTTGTAATAAAATTTCTTTTGTTGCTGATTGAAAAAAATGTTGTTAGTGATGATTGTAATTTGTAGTCTTATAGGCCTGCCTATCAGGCAAGCTGGGCTTAACTTCCCCTTGCAGTGACAGGCATCAAAAAAGGTTTAAGGATGGCTGGGATGCCTCTGCCAGAGTATCGGTAAATTCAGTCTAGGAACTAAAAGGTATGTAATTTCACATTTGATTTTTGGGACCTGACTGAAAATAATTAAAGAGAATTGCAACTTATGGTCACTCGAGAAGGTTAAAATAATCTTCTCATGTTTTTGACAGGCTTGCTTGGTTTCATGTCATTTCAGCCCTAAAATAATCTTCTCAAAATCTTCTGATGTGCTCTCTGCTTGGTCAAGGGTCCTCTAAAGTGAATCCATAACCCAGCATTTATGGTGTTTCAAGGGCCAATAAACTATACAATGTAGTGCCATTTCAGATTTTTAAATCAATCCCAAAGGTGAAAATCATATGAACTGTCATCCTCAAGGCATTTTGTTGTCGGTGAAAGAAGTGCATAATTCTAGTGTGCGATCAACAAGAGAACTATACGAAGTCAAAATACCGATGAGATGATCTAGCATCTTTGCATTTTTTTGGTTGAAGAAATATGGCTTTGCTCTTCTGAGCTTGCTTTAGACTGTTATTTACATATTGTATTTATGGGATTCCTTGGACAGGTATGAGCAAAAGTGAAACAGAGCTCTTGGCGGTGGCCACGTGGAAATGGTCTAACCATCTTCTATTCTTAACTTCATTCTTCATTAACGTTTGCTAGGTTGGATCAACCAAGTTTCAGTATATGATTATCAACATTCAAGTTTGTATCCAGGAATATAAAAGATCTTCTATTCAAAATTTCAATTCGTGGACTCTATTTTTTCTCTTCCAACCTTAAAATCCTCGTTGACTCGATAGGGAGACCTCATGATATATCATATATGTATAATGTGTGTGTTGTGTTTTTTTTTGGTTTGTGCAGACACTAATGTTGCCATTAGAGTTATTCAAGATGGAGCTGTAAATATCGACATTGGTCTGCACAAAGGATGAATATTGACAATGAAATATATTCGGCCAATGTTCAATACATGCATAACTGAAGCTAGATTGGTCAATCGATCGGCTTTTGATTTGAATATGTTAATGAATATCTGATCTAATAATTCGTTAAAATTTAAATCTGATAGATTCAATTATTGCCCGACTAGATTCGGATAAATATAATATGATCCGATTATTGATCTGATTTGATTTTCATATTTTAATTTCACCAGTCATTAATTTTATTTCCATAATTAAACTGGTGGTAGGTTGGTGTGTTGGGGCCAGCTTCTGCCATTTTCATTTGGGGCTATAAAATGAACCAAATGATTTGAATTCGACTTATTAAAAATTTGTTTAAGATTGAATCAGAATGTAAGTAAATTAAATTTAAATATTTTTTAAAACTTGTAAGTTTTCAAACATGCTTTACAAACTTACTAAACTCATTTACAATCCTGTTTCTAGGAATCTTGATGTTACATGATCCATAGATATACAAACAACAAAGTTGATATATATATATATTGAAAGCAAGGTTGGTAAATAGTCCAATCATCTGGTTTCATGTGTCTGATCAATTATGGATCAATGTGTTTGCTTAGGGTATTCTATTTTATATTATACATGGATATTGGATTTTATGGAACTTGATTACGTTGAATTTTTTTAAAAAAATGTGATTTTGGTTTCTTTATGATTTAGACAGATAGTACAAAGTATCCACTATGGGCTCCAAGACTGCATAGATTTGTTATTCATTTATTTTTAAACAGTGGTTTAATTATAAACTTGAGTAATGATTTGTAGATATAAAGAAAAATAAAAATAAGAAAAAAAAAAGGTATTTATATAATGTGTGCTATAAAAGTTCAATTCATGATGACTTTAGAATTTTTCCAACCAATTGGACCGGTGTTATTGACTCCTATCTTGTGTCTTGCTCAGGGCGGCTTTGGCTCAAAGTTGGCAAAGTCGTCGCTTTGTACCCAAAATTAATTAAGATAGAAGGTTCCAAATTTTTTTTAGTTATTATATTAATTCATAAAAAAATCTACATAAATTTAAAAGGTCTTGACAAAATTCGATGTAGATTCAAAACTAATAAATTGTTAATCTAGTAAATTATTTAAAACTAATAGATGATTTTTTTACTCCAAAAAAATAGAAAAGCCTATTGATTGGATGAGTTATTTGACATTAATGAATAATTGTTTTCCAAATTTATGAATTGTATTTAGAATATGATTAATTATGCTAGTTACAATTGTTTCTAGAGAAAAAAGAATCAAATTTAAAATTGAATAAATCTTGCCTACGTCACAACAAAGATTGAATGGATTAATAATTTTATCCACTGAAAAATATTTAGTTGATAAGTTGAATTATATAAGTTTGATTAGCAATTTTGCGATAATAGTGGTGTTTAAGTGATATTTTGTTGCAATTTGTTTATTTTTAATCCTTGAGTTTAGATTATTTTAGACATTTTTCTTATTGTTAACTTTGTTATATATTTAAGTAAATTTTATGTCCAAAAAAAAAAATGATAGATAATCTTCTGATTACAAATTTTTTCCCTTAAATATATAAAAGGCTCCTTATCGGGAGCTCGTTTTGGGCTAAAAAAATGTCAGAGCCGGCCATGGTCTTGCTAATAAAAAATATGGATTAAAAATAAGAAATGTTATTTCTAGTTGATTTATATATACAATTTTTATTTATTTTTTTATTTTTTTTTTGTGTGTAAGATTTGATATATATAAAAACACTTAAATATGTCAATTATATGAAATTACCTTGGTAGTTGAAACGCTTGCTTACTAAACTTATTGCCCGAGTTCAATTCATATTGCTATGCCATACAAATTCATTTCTATCATTTAAAAATAATAATAATAATAATAATAATAATAATAAAATTGGCAATTTCTTCTCAGCACCACCATCATCACATCATAATATATAGTAAAGCAGTCACATTCAAGAAGGTACTAGGAAAAGATTCCTTAGATTGAGATCTATATCTATCTATACTATATATTAAGCAAAAATAGGTTTTTAACTCCCAAGGCTCGTTGGAGTTTTGATATCTCAATCTGAATTTTTTAAATTTTTTATTTAAAAAAAAAAACTCAGCATTTATTGATTTGATCAAAATCTCATAATTATCATTTATTAACTTTTTTCAATCTACATGTCTTTCCACATGCCTGCATTTAAAATCTCTTCAAACGAATAATTATAAATATAATCCGTGTATAGTTACTGCAGTACCCTTTTCAACTTCTTCCATACGCTATGGTTAGTAATAAGATTGCTAAATTATTTTTATAAAAAATCTTAAAAAACATAATTTATATATTAAAAAAAATTTAAAACAAATATAAATATCTATAATTATGCCGTTCATAGGAAGGGTGATAGGCTAGTCTTATTAAAATATAAGAGAAGATTTATGCTTATTCTACAACAATTATTGAGCCCCATGATTAAATTAGGGTCTAAGGTGATAAACTTGCGAGGGAAATTAAAAATATTTCTAGGTAAGAGTTGGGTTACGAAAATATTTTTAAGGGATTAGAGTGTTTCAAAATAAAAAAAATGTTATACGTCATTGTTTATTTATCACTATTTTATTTTACCGCCAACATTGATACTTATTAATTAGTTTTCTTAGTCAAAAATAATTGTCAAAGAATTAATGCAAATAAATAATTTTTTTTCACATAAGCCGGCGATATAAAATAATAATAAAAAAAAAGCAAATGATATATAACAGTCCTCTTCGAAAATAGAAGGAAAATAAAAAATCCTTAGCATACATATAGGCTACAGCTAATTTTCAAGAGAGATGCCACCATTAATGCCCTTAAAATGGTATATATAACAACATTATAAAATTTTGTATCATAAATTTATAGAATGACGTAACCGTTTGGGAATTGGAGATGTTGTTGCTCAGCCCGCGTAGCAGCAACTGTTGTGCTGCAAAATGGGCATATTTCGGTATTTATTTTGATAATTCGAATCGTTCGCATTTTAAAATACATTAATTAGAATATGCTTGTAAAAAATTAAGTAAATCGGATATCATTTACTCATTCATCTACTCACATTTGTATTCATTTTAATGTTTTAAATCACAATTATTATTTAATTTTGTAAATACAAATGTGAGTGGATGAATGAGTAACTGATATCCGATTAATTTGATTTTTTGCAGACATGTTCTATTTGATGTGTTCTAAAATCTGAACAGTTCGAATTATTAAAATGGACCTCAAAATGGATCCATTTCACCGCATAGCAATTGCTGCTGTGCGGGCTGCGCAACAGTATCCCCAATTCCAACTGTTTGCATACAACTTCTTTTTTTTTTTTGTTACAGGAAAATCCTCCATACCCTCTCACAGGTCCAAGGCAACGCCCCTTACAGAGATCACCAAGGTGTCCTGTTAGTCGTTCCGGTCACGACTCGCACAGCGGGGGTGCATTGAACCCACACCGAGTGCTGATTAGACAACAGCGCCCCTTACAGAGATCACCAGGGTATCCTGTTAGTCGTTCCGGTCAGGACTCACACAGCGGGGGAGTATTGAACCTAAACCAAGTGCTGATTAGACAACTTGAGGTCCAACTTTCTAACCAACTCTGCTTCGCCCAGAAAATTGGCCCAAGAGGGAGGGTATTGAACTTGTGACCTTGGGGCTTAAACCCCAAGCCTTAACCACAATGCCACCCACCCTTGGGTTGCATACAACTTTTACCTTAGGGCTCACATGCACTATGTACGGGAAAGAAATAATTCTTCTCGTATAATCCTGTTGACTAAGTTTGTGCTCCTCCGTACGGCATCACTTTGTCACCTGAAAACACAGACGTGAGCTAGCCGGCGGGTGTGTGCCGGAAACCTCTCCGATGCCTAAGTCAGCAAACTTGACAAATAGACAAAGCTCTTTGTATTCAGAAAGCAAAATTGTGTGTTGTGTTACCTCCTCCAAGGTGATGTTCATGAGCTTTTATAGGTTTCGAGTGGCACAATCCTAGTAGGACTTTTACTCCTCCATGCAGAGTCCTCCTAAGATTCATACTTCTAAAGGATAATGCTTATCCTTTTACACCCCCCCCACTGCTTAAACCAAGTGGGATGGTTTTTACCATGGCCGAACTACCATTTGACCGAAGTACCCACGGCTATGTATAGCCGTAGAATAAGCCGAACTAGTTCTTCCTTTCACTTCTCTTACGTCGGCTTCTTATGCACAGCACATGGCATGGTTGGACCGAACTAACAAATCGCGACCGGTATAACTCCAAGACCGGTCTAACTCAAAGGTACCGCTAGACCGATCTACTCAGAATACATCATCACCGGACTAACTCTGAGACCGGCCTAGCTCCAAATTGCTCGGACCGAAGTAGTTTTACAATTCTTGAGCCAAAGTAACTTAATCTCTCTTGGGCCGAAGTAACTTTTCGGCCTTTTTACCCAGTCCTTCACACTGTGGGCCATAAAGTCCTTCTCATAGCTCGGCCCAATTTTCACAAAAATTACCCTCTCAATTGCCCCTTAATTCCATCTGCGCAGCAT